GAAGCTGATTACATGCGAGTAAAAAAGTTGCTGTAATTTTACAAGCATGTAATAAGCTTACAACTCAAGTTGTGTACTAAATGTACTATTCCTACGATTATTTTCATTTATAAAAATTAAAAGTATAACAAGTAACTTTTATTTATTTAACAAAATTCGGGAACAATTTAAATTAAACATTTATTTATAATAATTAATTGTAAAATTTTTACAATTATTTATAACTATACCCTTATCTGACTTTGACGGTTGTTCAATATTACGTGGTGAATGGTGAGATGACTTAAACTGTACTGTTAGACGAGTCAAATTAGTAGAAAATAAACGTTTTTTCGTCACAAGTGTATAGACGGGTTTGACAGTTGAAATGGATAGTATGAGATATTACAAAAAGACTCTCATCTAGGGATTCATGAATTTTTTAGTGGAACTATTTTTAAATAAACAATTAAGACGTCAATATCATTATTTTGCTCATAACTTATAAACTTGTCTATTTAGAGATTTGACGTCCACAGACGAGTTGTTGAGAAAGAAAAAATACACAAAATGAGATATACTAAATTAAAATCGGCTAATAAACAAAAAAGTTATTGCATAATAACCAAGCAAAACGGCTGTTTTTGATTATTGTTAATAACTCTTTTAGTAATCAATAAAATTTATTTAAATGTATCTGCACTTAAAGATCTCATCGTGTTCGAAGTGTGTGCGAAAGATAGGTTAGAGCCGTCAAATAGTTTTTGCACAATTTAATTTGTTTTTAAGATTTTTTGAAAAATGCACAAATTTCTAAGGCCGGTTCAGATAATTTGACTAAATGGATCTTAATAATCCGGGGCTTATTTTCTTTGTTGAGACATATATTAATATCCTATGGAAAAAAAAGTTAAAAAAAATTACGCTTAAGTATACAAAATGATTTAAAAATAAATAGCACTTTTTAAGCTTATAAACATTTACAATAACTCTGTACTATTTAGTTTAAATTAAATGGCAATAAAATATTCGGAAGGCTGGTTAAAAAACACAACTTTAAAAAAAAAGAAAAAGGTCCTGCGACCATTAGGAGCCGAGTTAGTACTTTTTTTTTTTTTAAAATCACTGTTACGTCAAGTAACAACATTAAGGGCTGAAATTAACCAATCTTTTAGAAGAAAAGTCAAAGTTTTTAACAAAATACTTAGGAAACAAAATAATTGAAAATTGATTAAACAGGAGTGTTGTAAACCAAGAGTACTTTACGTTCCGACTCAAATGGAAGGAGTGAGGATTGCCGATTGCACACAAGCCGCGCTCTCTGAAAAAGGTGAGCGCACGGTTTCAAAATAGACTGCTTGGAAAAAAATGACATATCTCGGGTTCTAGTGGACCAAATTTGTTCTTTTTTTTTAAAAACTGGGGTACAACGTTAAAATAATAACATTTAACATACTTTCATTGCAAAATTATTCAAAACAAAGCAGCTAATGACTACGGAATGTACAAACTTTTTCTTAAGTCGTCTTTTTATTGTTATTTTTCTATTTATTTATTTCAAATATGATTATATTAAATAAATGCTATAAGTAAATGAACATTTTGAATAATGTTTACTAAAAATTTATTAATGAAATAATAAATTAATTTTTTGTTATTACAGAAGTTGAAATTTTGTGTAGTGATTTTTTAAAATAATTTAATTTACTGTAATTTTCTACGCTTAATTTCTATATCGTCACTGCTACTACTATGTAAACATTCATCTTCACTTTCATCTTCAATAATAAGTGAAATATCAAACTTTTTTTACGTGACTTTAATTTATAAAATTTCTACGCTGAATATTTTTCAATTTTATTTTTATAAAATCTTAAAGGGAGTACGTTTAATTATAATATTTATTATCATAGAAAGGCCCCTTACTTACCAATTTAATAGTTTGTATCGCTAATCCAATCCAAAAAAAACAATTAAATGTTCCTATACTGCAATAATCCTATTTCTATAAGTACTGCAATAATAAGAATTTATTAATTTTCGTATAAAATTTGAAATGCGATCTTATAATTTTAACGTGAAAATATTTTAATATATTCATTTGTTATCTTTTCTAAAAAATTGTAAATCTAAATATCCGTTTAAATTTCATTGGTTAACTTTCAAAAATTATACATTATATTGTATACATTCGTATACAATTTAAAGCAGTGTACTCACATTTTGAAATAAATGTTTAAAATCTTTATTAGTACAATAAATATCATGTTTTAAAATAAAAATAGAAATATTTAATAATTTTTCCATATAAATAATATCATAGTTTCATTTTCACGTAAACTTATAATAATAGTAAAATAATATTATATTCAAAGTTAACCGTATATTATTCAGACAACGTGGTACAACCATGTGTTTATTTTAATATATATCACAACAGGTAGTTTTTTTTTAATATTCAGATGAATTTTACGTAACATTAATTATTTGTAACAATGATTAAATAAAACAAAACACTAAATATTTCAATACAACAAACCGGTTGTATAGTCGCAGCCTAACAGCATCTGCTTGAGCGTGGCTTGAGTGCAATCGGCAATCCCCACTCCTTCCATTTGAGTCGGAACGTAAAGTACTCTTGGTTTACAACACTCCTGTTTAATCAATTTTCAATTATTTTGTTTGCTAAATATTTTGTTAAAAACTTTGACTTTTCTTCTAAAAGATTGGTTAATTTCAGCCCTTAATGTTGTTAATTGACGTAACAGTGATTTAAAAAAAAAAGTACTAACTCGGCTCCTAATGGTCGCAGCACCTTTTTCTTTTTTTTTAAAGTTGTGTTTTTTAACCAGCCTTCCGAATATTTTATTGCCATTTAATTTAAACTAAATAGTACAGAGTTATTGTAAATGTTTATAAGCTTAAAAAGTGCTATTTATTGTTAAATCATTTTGTATACTTAAACGTAATTTTTTTTAACTTTTTTTTCCATAGAATATTAATATATGTCTCAACAAAGAAAATAAGCCCCGGATTATTAAGATCCATTCAGTCAAATTATCTGGACCGGCCTTAGAAATTTGTGCATTTTTCAAAAAATCTTATAAACAAATTAAATTGTGCAAAAACTATTTGACGGATCTAGCCTATCTTTCGCACACACTTCGAACACGATAAGGTCTTTAAGTTCAGATACATTTAAATAAATTTTATTGATTAATAAAAGAGTAATTAACAATAATCAAAAACAGTGGTTTTGCTTGGTTATTATGCAATAACTTTTTTATTTATTAACCGATTTTAATTTAGTATATCTCATTTTGTGTATTTGTTCTTTCTCAACAACTCGTCTGTGGACGTCAAATCTCTAAATAGACAAGTTTATAAGTTATGAGCAAAATAATGATATTGACGTTTTAATTGTTTATTTAAAAATATTTCCACTAAAAAGTTCATGAATCCCTAGATGAGAGTCTTTTTGTAATATCTCATACTACTTATTTCAACTGTCAAACCCGTCTATACACTTGTGATGAGTAAAAACCTAACTTTATTGGCCTATGTGTGTTCTTTTTGATCATTGGTATTTTCAACATCTAGAAATTGATGTCACAACTCTTCTAGTTACAAATACTACCGTATCTTCAACAGTTTAATAATATATATATATATATATATATATATATATATATATATATATATATATATATATATATATATATATATATATTCGGTTTTATAACGTCTTACGACGTTGTGCGACTCCCAAACGCCACTGTATTCTGTCTTGAGTTAGGTCTTCGTCCAGATTTCGAGCGCTAATCGCTTTCCTAACTCCCAGCTTCCAGCTCTGTGGTGGTCTTCCTCGTTTCCTCTTCTCTGGGGGTTGCCACATCATCGTTTTTTTAGGCAATCTCTCGTCCCCCATTCGGCTCACATGCCCATACCATATGAGCTGTTTTCTCTCAATATCCTCAACTATAGTGCCCTCTATACCCATTTGTTGTTTTATCACTTCATTCCGTATTCTGTCGGCTCTTGATATTCTCATCGATCTTCTGATGGCATCCATTTTCATGGCTTCGACCTTTTTCTTATATTTCTCGGTTATTCTCCATGTCTCAGCTCCATAAAATAGGCTAGTTTTAACCATTGTCGCATAGATGTTCCATTTTCTTTTCTTTGATATTTCTTTACTCCATAGAACTCCGTTCAGACATGCTATAGCTCTTCCTGCTTGTACAATTCGATGTTCTATTTCTCGTTCGTCTTTTCCGCTACGGTCGAAGATGACGCCCAGGTATTTATATTCGCTGCATGGATTTATTTTTTTGATTGTCATCGATATCAAGTTGTTCTGCTTCAACTCCAATTGAGAGGTATTTTGTCTTTTCTAAATTGATATTTAATCCCCATTTCTGGTATTTTTCAATTAGTTTTCTAAGCATGTATTCCATGTCATCTTTGTCATTTGAGATCACCACCTGATCATCTGCAGACTGTAAAGTATATATGTAATCCTGATCGTTCAATTGTATACCCATTCCTTTGACTTTCCTTTTCCATTGTTTCAGAGCTGCAAAGATATAAATCTTAAATAGAGTCGGAGAGATACAACATCCTTGTCTGATACCCTTAGTAACTGCAAATTTTTCAGCTAAGAGGTTTCTGAATTTCATTTGGGAGTTTGAACCATAGTATAGATCTTTGAGAGCACTAACCAATGTTTGATGTATGTTTGATGTGCCCAGGACTTCCCATAGTTTATTTAGCGGGACTTTGTCATATGCCTTCTCAAGATCTACAAAAGTCATATGTAACTCTCTATTTGTCACAATTTTCTTTTCTATAATTTGTTTAAGACAGAAGATGTTATCTGTACATGAACGACCTGCTCTAAATCCTCCTTGTTCTTCGTCGTCAGACGATTGATAATCTTCCAATAATATTTTTATTCTAATAATTCTAATAATTCAATAATATTTTTAATTTCAAATAATAATTATTCTTATTTGTTACAGGTGTTGATAGAAATGGATCCCCTTTACAATTTCCATCCCCAAGTGGCTTTGCTTCGTATTGTCGGAACATTTGGGGATCACCGATTATCTCAGCCGGTTCCAGGTATCTTTCGCCGTTTTCTGAAGGAAATATCAAAGAAAAATCTTCAGGTAAGTTCTCTGATATTAACAAAAACTATACTTTATTTTTTATTGGTTGACAGCACGCTAAAGGTCAACGGTTGTAAATCAGTTGTAAACCAAGAACGTCCAGTGTACAATTTACAGAAGGGATTTGAAATATAGGTAAAAAAAATTACAAATGGTTTAAAAATCAAATTCTTTTTGAAGTTACAATTGTGCAAGTATATTGACCGAATATAAAGGGGCTGAGACAGCTTGTGTACTCGACAACGATTGGGGATCGCCACCCTGTTTGGTAGGATACGTAAAGCCGCCGGTTTCTCTGGGCTCGTGCGCATCAATACTATAAGTAAAAGTATAAGTATACTTTTATGGTAGCTGAAACAGGGTTAAAGATGTAACTAGCTCCAGAACAAAGTTCTGATAAACGGACAGGATTAGAAAGTTTAAAACATCACTAATTAGATCATATTTCAAAACAAAGTAAATAAGTATATTTGAATTAAAATTTTAGGAAAAAAATATTTCTTGTTCTCAAGAAGTACTTTCATTATTTACAATATCGAAACATTTTATTATTAAAAGTCGAGAAGAATTTTCTGAGGAAACGTACATATTTATATAAAAGTGCTATAAAAATGTTCCACTGCAAAATGATGCTAGCAAATTACCCTCTGTTTTAGGTCACTGATATCCATCAATATAATATCAATATTCCCGCAGTTTTTTTGCCAAATTTTTGTGCGCTCTACGTCTTTCAGGGGAAATTTAAAGAAATATATATTATTATTTGCTCCATCGTTTCTTTCAAAACATCCCGCGTAAACACATTTATGCGTTACACAGGCCATTTTATCAAAAATGTGAGCCTTTATTTTTTTAAATTTCGGTATAACTTGCCACAACACTTCACACAGAAAATACACTTATAGGGTAAGTTCGGCCCTGACACCACTCCTATCTCCTCGCAAGTCAGAGAGAGAATGAGAATCTCGATACGGTTTTCGAGTAACGCCATCTAGTTTTTGATACGTCTTTCGGTTACCACGAGGTGAGCTATCTAGGTGGTGGTTTATAATCAATGATTTGGTTCATTTTGCTGATATTATCATATTGTATTTCTTAGCTGTTGTATTGAAGATATGTGTTAATCCTTGGAGCTCGTCTTCTGCCTCGGCGATGAATGCGGAGTTGCCTGCAAAACATAATATTTGGATTTCTTTGTTCCCCATTCGGTAGCCATGACCTTTACGTACTGCTTGTATTATTTCGTCCATTATTATATTAAAGAGAAGTGAGCTTAACGAGTCACCCTGTCTGACTCCGCTTTGCACTGGTATACATTGTATTAGTTTTCCAGTTATCTTTGACTGGATATATAATTTTATAACTTAATTCTTGTCTGAATCAAGTTATTCAGTTATATTTAATGTAATATTTCTTGTATTTGGTATATCCACTAATAACCCTGCGCGGTTTTGTGTTTAAATAAAAAAAGTGTTTTAGTTCTTCTGACCATTTTGGTGTGTATTATTTTTGCTTAGTTTGCTGAATTAATAATTGTTATTCTGTAATAGCTCTGTAATAATTTGTGCTCTATAATAATTGTTACTATCTTAGAACCCAAAACGTTTAAGTATAAAACAAAGTCCTCATAGCTGTACAACTCTCATCCGAAATCAAAATGACTAATCCATAATAAACTCATCCAATTCTCGGTTGCCGTCGAAAATAAAAGGAAATATTAAAGTGGCGGCTCGTGTAGCCTATCGAGGACCCCACAAGTCGGCACTTACGTCATTTCCGAACCGGTAGCCGATTAGAAGCGAGCGTAGCAGGCAGCGGTGACCCTTCTATTAGCCCTCCATTTAATTAATTGTTTGAACAGTGACCTAACTACTTACGAGACAGCTGATAAACTGCACAACAACTACGATTTACTTATTGAATCAAGCTTTCACATTCAAATAAATGACTTCTTTAAATTAAAAACACGACGTGTCCGATTCCTGCTGCAGGAATACACAATTGAGATGAAAACCATAAATTATCTTCCTTTTTAATTTTGCGTTGACTGAATAGATGCTGCTTATTCTTTCCAAACAATTTTATTTAGACTGATATAAGGTTAAATGCTCGAATAAATGAATTTTAATCAAATAAAAGGCAGATATCGAGCACACTTTTTTTAATAAATCTTGCCCAAAAACCTTGTCAAAATTGGGTTATCCAACAATATATGGAGAATGTCATAAACATTAAAGGATACCAACCAACACTTTAGGAAGTAAAGAATGCGATGGCGTCTTTAAAAGACCATAAAGCACCAGGAAATGCTGGCATAAATCGGAGAGTAAAAGAAGAGGAAACCTTTTACACCAAAAATTGTATAACATCATTCTGAAAGTATTTCAACAACAGAAAATGCCTAGAGAATGGAATGTAAGCGTTATAATTTCCATATATAAGAAAGGAAACAAAGAACAATTCCGAAACTATAAAGGCTTATCGTTTATTAGCACATCATATAAAGTGCTATCAATTATCTTGCTAAAGAGACTCACCATATTCTGAAGATATTCTAGGCGACTATCAATGCGGCTTTCGTGCTGGAAGGTCAACTATAGATCAGATATTTACCATCCGACAAATAATAAAGAAAAATTGGGAACTAAACCGCGATGTGCATCAAATTTTCATAGATTTTTAATCATTAAAAATTCCTCATTTACTAACTATTCTGATGTTTTGGCAATTCTGTGGGGTTCTGACGTTCTAAAGTAAATCTTGAATGACGTGCAAGCTTTTTTTATATGAAAAATGCTATACTAAAGCGTGCCCATTGTTGACCAAATTAAAAAAAATAAAATGATGAACTAATTAAACGATTAGTGCAATTTTATAGGGTGTAGGTTTTTAGTAGCAGCGTGTGTTTATACCTATCTAATCTATTTGTGAATCATCACACAATACTAACAAATTTGTAGCATTCTTTCAAAGAAGATAAATCACTGAGTTTTCTCACCGGCTAATATTATCAAACCCAATGAATGGTTTAGCGTGAAACGGTATCGTATCATACTGAATGTTTAATAATATTGTAATACCACTCAACACCTGGTTAAAAATATTTTTTGACAAATAGGTGACGCAGATAAAATGCCGTTTGGTATATAATCTACTCTCTACTTTTCCAATTCTATAGTGCCGTAAAAACCATATTACATATGAGGGGTATAGAAGCAAAAAGCGTCAAGTCACATTTTTGTGAAATCTGCGTTTGATACGGGATTTATTCTTTATGTGTATATATATATAAGTTCAAACACAATTTAGGTGCAAATTCCACCTTATATCGGAGTAATTTATACGAGAAAATACGCTTAAGCTGCAAAACCCGCCTTGTCCAAAAAATTTAGTTGCAAAGACCGCCAAGTCCGGCCTTGCTAATGGCGAAACGTTTGGGCTGATACGTGACTTAGCCGTTCCTGCGAAATGTCATATGGCAGCTTCTAACCATGTAATGTTTTTAGTGTTGTTTGGATATTATTCAAAGTAGGTTTAGGTAAATTTCATTTTGTTTTGTTGTAATGGATAACGATAATATTGGTATCTCTATAGAAAAAACGACTCCAGAATGTAGCCGGAAAAGAATCGTACAGCTTGATAAACACAAAAGAGTAGTCGTTATGAAAAATAGGTAAGCATAGAGAGCTAGATAATGTTTCAGTGCATCGAACTAATCAATTTTTTTGTTTTTAGATATTCGGCTAAAGGTTTACTTAAAAAACCAACATGTGTTCATAAAAATAAGTTCCTGAAGTGCAATTTATTAACTATGAGGGATCTGCAATTTGTTCATAAAAGATTTTATGAAATTCCATCAAAACTTAAACAAGATGCTTTCATATTAAAATGTTGTGAGGCTAAGACACCGCAGAGAAGAAGCAGACGAGCACAGAGAGAAGTGGACAGAACAATTGCTCAAAAAAAGGTATCAATAAATTATAGATTACCAAAGCAAGGTGGCGAATGGATAAGTATATGCAGAAGAGCCTTTATGCAAATTTTGGGCGTGAAAAAAAAGAATTCAGGGTGTGGTAAAGAGGTTTTTTTAAAGGGATTAGCTCCATCAGAAAAACGAGGGGGCGACCGCGTTCTAGAAAAAATTATCAACAAAAGTTAGCTATGAGTATTTTTATTGAGACTTTTAAATGTCTGAAATCTCATTACTGCAGGAGTCAAATCAAGAAAAGTACTCATCTACCATGTGATCTTAATATAAGAACGCTCTTTAAACTTTACGTCACATCAGTGGATAGCTCTCTTATGGTTAAGGAACATTATTTTTGTTCATCTTGAAAACGCCATCCGTTTTCAAGATACAGGGCGTTGAAGGAAAAACAATTTTACGCATTTTTACGATTTTGCCGAAACTACTGGCAACATTGTAATGAAATTTTATACGAATATGTTTTGGAAGCTGATACATCCCATGAATTTGTTTTTATATTTGATTCTCATAGAGGGCGCTAGTTACACGGATCGTACTAAGCATTAGTCAATATAACTTTTTTAAGAGTATAATTATTAATCAAAATTTCAAGTAAACTTAAACATAATTTAATTTTACACGAAAAAGATACTCTTGGTAAAACTCGATACTGTGTACCGTTTTCGGAATATTTCGATTTGAAAATTATGAAGTAATAATTGATGCTGGTATATAATAGTTAGTAATTAAACAAAACTCACAAGAAGAAAATTAAATTTATGACTAAGACCATAAAATAAAACTCAATTACAGTAAGTGTTCAAAATACCCTCCATTTTCGCGAATACACAAGCTATGATGTCATTAAATTGACGTTGAATTCTTTCTTCCAATTCTTCTCGTGAATTTACCTCTGCAGCATAGACTTTTTCCTTAATATACGACCAAACAACGTAGTCCAAAGGGTTAAAATCGCTTGACCGAGGAGGCCAATGAATCGGAGTTTCCTCACCTTTACCAGTCCATCGATTCA